TAATGGCCCACGATCTTCAGGTCCAGGGCTAATCCCACTGAACAAAATGCACCAGATAATGGCCAATGTGTGTTTAGTTTGGAGTTACAAACATCTCGTCTTAGATCACTCTGGAGAAAAAGAAAACACATACATTGGTATGTAGGTTAACAGCTCTCTTGACTACTCAGAAATCTTCCAGAAAAAGAGGGTATGACCGTGGATACATGCATACACGTTCTCATACTCACTGCTGCTATTACAGGATCCATGACGGACAAGGAAGGACGATGGTACGAACTTGTGCAAACACTGAAATATACACGTATTTACTGATGTCCATTTGTGGGTTTTTTGTCAGAAACTGAAAGGTTGGTGCATTGAAAACTCTTACAGCAAAAGGAAGAAAATATTAATTCATATTTCCCCTTTGGGTGATGCCTTGGTTTGAATGTCCCCCCAAAGCTTAATCCCCACTGTAGCTGTTGAAGGTAAGAAAGCCTATTATGGTAACTGAAAGGCGGGCCTTAAAGAGGTGATGAGATTGTAGGACCATGCCTCAGTGAATGGATTAACAATGGTGGTCAGGGGCGTGGTTCTGAGAGCTTTAAAAGGAGAGCATATGAGCACCTCTCTCTGCTCAGCCATTTTCTGCCAAGTGATACCCCTGCTTTTCTGCCAAGGAAGGCCCTCACCTGGACTTTGGACTTCCTAGTGTCTGAAACTGTAAGCAATAAATTGCTTTTTCACATAAATTACCCAGTTCCAGGTGTTTTGTTATAAACAACAGAAATGGACTAACACAGACATGGGGAGATCATCATCAAGGCCCTCCAGACGACCTTTCTGTTGTTAGACTGGTCTGTGCTGGTCAACGAGACAGCATAGGTCCAGGGAAAGTCTGGTTTTATAACCAGTTTTAGGCTCTTACTCTCTTTCAACGAGTGGGAACTTGCCGCTGACCCTTGCAAGGACTTTGTAAGAAAACTTTGGGATCAAAAGACATAGCAAAAAATGTACATTTATTTTATAAACCTAAGACAGGAGCAAGAGGTAGGTGGGGGAGGAATGAATTAAGGGAGCGATTGTGACAGTGAAGTGCATTATTACCTAGTTATTCATGCACTCTTGGCTTTTCAGTTGATGAACTTTTCACACCAGAAGTGGGGAAACTCATCAACTTTTCCTCCCTTCATGTCTTCTTCTACCCTCTCTTCTGTCTCACCTAATTGTTATGCACTCAACATGGACAAAGACATTCTTCTCATTTCAACTTTCTCTGCAAAGCTCAGGTAACCTTATGTGACTCTGAAACGCAATTGCACCTCACCTAGCATACCCTGCCTTTAGTTTCTGCAACAATTCCTTAAGTGTGCATGAATGGGGAAGTTTGCTGGCTTCTTTCGTGAAACGAGAGCAA